GTCTCTTCTGATTCCTACAGTGGTAAGTGCTTCCCCGGTACTTTCGCTGCTGCGCAATGTGACTAACACCGGCTGGCAGCTCTCTGCTGTGTTGGGGAACGACGACAGTTTCGAGAAGGAGCGCAGCATTCTAGTCCTATCCCGCGGAACAGCTTTCATTCTACTGTCTCTTTACGTCCTCTATTTGGTGTTCCAGCTGCGAACCCACCCTAGCTTGTTCGAACCCGAGACTGAGTCACCTGATACAGGGAACCCCGTACTAAGCCCTACGTCCGCTGTCGCCGTGCTGGGCGTTACCACCGCTCTAGTGGCATTTTGTGCCGACAACCTCGTGGAGAGCATCGGGCCAGTCGTGGAGGCCGCCGTTCTCAGTAAGGCCTTCATCGGGCTTATTGTGGTTCCCTTCGTCGGCAACGTAGCCAAACACGCCATGGCCGTTGTAATGGCTACTCAAGACAAGATGGACGTCGCCTTAGGCATTGCCATGGGGTCCAGCATCCAGATTGCGCTTGTTGTCACGCCTTTCTTGATCATCATCGCATGGGTCTTCGGTGAACCGATGACTCTGCAATTCGGACTCCTTCCAGCCATCATCTTCCTGTTTTCTGTGTTAGTGATCGCGTACACTGTGCAGGACGGCAGGTCCAACTACTTAGAAGGCGCTATGCTACTCGGCCTGTACCTTCTCATCTCCATAGCCTTCTATGTTGGCCCTGCCACGTAGTTTTCTATGCCGGCATGTACTATCATCTGCTTGCTGGCGGATCCCGCCCGGTATAATGGACAAGGCTCATGGGCCAAGAGATAACCTCGCAAGCTTATTATGAGACTAGTAGGGACGAGGCGTGCCGTTCATGCTTGGTATCAGTCGGCGGCTTGCGGTCAGAAAGAGTCTGTTGACGGCCCGTTATGTGCCCGGTGCTTCAGTAGCTGGCGTCGCTAGTGAGTAGATTTAAATGGAAACCGACCCTTGACAGTCCTCGACACCCTCCACGACGGCGCCTTATCTCTGCACCTCTCTCGCTTCCAGTTAGGAGGTTGATTGACCACCGACGACT